GCGGAGGAGGAAGAGGCCCCTCCTGAAGCATCCCAGATGCCTTCTTCTTCTCTTCCGACGCTGTTTTCGTGACGTCGGCCCCTTGGATTCTCGACCCCTTCCCAGGGGCTGGGGGTTTTCCACCCCGAGCAGTTCCCAGCCATCCTGTGGTTTCTGGGCCCTCCTCTTGCAGAGAAAGGGCGCCCCGCATGCCTGTTCGTGGCCTCATCGGGAGCCCAAACGAAGGCGCCAGTGGCAGGGCCCGCATGGCGTACCCATTCCCGATTCGGCACACCCCTCACACGTCGTTCCGTGGCCCCACGGGGAGCCCAGGCGAAGGCTCGAGCGGCAGGGTCCGCATGGCGTGCCCGCACCCGGTCCGGCACAACCCTCATGCGTCTCGTGGTCCCATAGGGAGTTCCACCGAAGAAAGCTGCAGCGGCAGGGCCCCCATGGTGTGCCCGCACCCCATTCGGCACACCCCTCGCACGTCGCTTCGTGGCCCCATAGGAAGCTCCACCGAAGGGCCCGGCGGCAGGGTCCGCATGGCGTTCCCGCGGCCCGATTCGGCGCAGCCCTCGCTCGTTCCGCTGCCCTGTAGCGAGTTCCACCGAAGGCCCCAGCGGAGGGGTCCGCATGGTGTGCCTGCATTCGATTCGGCACACTCCGAGAACGCCACGCGACGCGAGCCCGTCGCCCCGAACGAGTTCGAGCAACGCTCGCGGGTCGTCCGCGGCGCGGGGTCAGAAACATCGGGTGGCTGACAGAGGGCGAGGCGCCAGGCAGAGCGCGCGGGAGTCGGGCAGCACTTGGAAGCAGATCGCAGGGGAGTCCCCGCGACGCGTGTTGGTCACCCCGAGAGGATACCAGCGACGCGGCGCGCGGGTCGTCCGTGGCGCGAGGCCATGCAGTTGGGCAGTCGACAGAAGGCGAATCTCGGGTGGGCCGTTTCTCAGGTCAGGCCTCGCAGATGAACCCGGGGAAGACCAGCTCCCTGGCGGGGCCGTCGCCATAGTAAGAAGACCCTCCGCTCGCCCATGTCCGCTTTTCTCTTCGCCCACGCTCCAATCTTCTTGCCAGACCCCCTCCTCCCTTTCAATTGCCTTGCGATGCTCGCAGCTGCATACGCTTGGGTCCTTCGCCAGGATAATTTCTTGACGCCACCAGGGCTGGGAAACTGCACTCAGAGGCCGAACCCTGCAACAGACAAAAGCGCAACCACTCCGATTTTCTCTGCATGGCCGGGATCTGAGGGCTTGCCCAGGTCGGCGGCGGAATCCGAAACCTACCTTCGCTGGTCAGCGGTTTAGGGCAACTCGATGGGCGGCGGGGTAGGGTTGGGCATTCGTCGAACACGTTGCGAAGTCCGAACCTTACCCCCGCTCCATCGATGCAGGAGAGTCGATGGTTGGTGGGGGAAGGGTTCGGGCCTCGCCGCCTACCAGGGTCGCTCTTGCCCAGGGTCGCTCTTGCCCACGGTCGCTCCTGCGCGCAGGCGATGGTGTGCGGCGGCGGCGGCGGCGGTTCGGGCGCCCGTGCGGGGGCACGGGCGCTGCGGGGGCGCTGTGCCCGCGCGGCCGGGTCGCAGGAGAAACGTTCGGCCCGTTCGGGGGGGGGGGGAGGGGCGGGAGGGAATATGTAGGATTATCGGGCGACGAGTGCTATACATGTCCACTGCTGCCTGGCCACGCCCATCCTGAACCCGGGAGTTGCATACGCCCTCCTGGCCAAGCCGGGAGGGCGTTGCGTATACACCGCTGCTGGGTTCAGGAGGGGACAGGCCAGGGAGCGTTGGAGGCTGCCCTAACAGAGGCCTCCCAAGTGGGTCCGAGTAGATGTGGTCGGAGGATCGCGCCGCATCGCCGATGCATCTGCAAAGCGGCTCGATGTGGAGCTCGATTTTCTCCACGCCGACGTCGCCGATGCATCGCCGACGTCGCCGATGCATTGTCGATGCATCGGCGATGCGGCGCGACCCTCCGCCCCCACTTGCCTGCGCCCCGTCCAGGATGACTCAACAAGAGGTGCAGACGGCTGGGGGGGCGGGGGCGGGGCATCATCGGTTCCGGCCGCGTCCAGCGGTGGAGAGGCACCGCCGTGCAGCCAGACCGCACAGCGAGGATGGGCAACCCTCCCAACGGTACCCCTGCATCCCTGCCTCCTCGGTCCAGCCTTGGCCACCTTCGTTGGCCGCGCCCCGTTCGAGAAGTTCCGAAATTGGCGTCCAAGGCCCTGGCATCCTCATCGCGCATCCTTGCTATACAGGTTGGCTGTATGCAGATTCTTGGGCCGCCGCGCCTCCGATGATGCGCATCGGATGCCAACTTTGCCCGTTCTTCGCCCTCTGGACTGTTGTTGCGGGTGCCCATGCAGCGCAGACCCCCCAGCCGCCTCCAAGATGAGAGGCCCTGGTGCTTTTCGTGTGATTCCTCTCGCTGGCTTTAGTTTTTGTCTGTCTTCATGCTGTTTTCTCGACCTGTGGGTGCGTTCGGAGGATCCCGCGAGATCGTCGGGCAGCTTCGGGATCTTGCTGCTCGGTTTTCGTCGGCCTCCGGGTGTTCCAGGGGGGCCGCCCGCGACGTCTCGGGAGGCCTCTGGAGGTTTTGCCGCTCTTGGTCTGTCTGCTGCCTGTCTCTTCCTTGCTTTTGAGACCTTTCGTCGGATGTCAGCGGGGGAGGTCCGTCGCTGGAGAAGCGGGGCAGCCAGAGGAGCCCTGGCGTGCGTCCTGGGCGCCACGGCGTGGTCAGAATGGGGCCCTCCGCAGTGCTGCATTTTGCGACCTGCTGGCCCCCGCCCCCTGTGGTCTGTAGACTGGAGTCCCCGACCTCTGCCAGTCAGTTCAACTTGCCCTCTGACCAGGCCTGCCGGGGCTCGTTTTGTCGCCAGTTCGTGGCACTTGCTCACGGTCGTGGCCCGTCTCTCCGCCGTGCGTCCCCTCAGCTGGCCTCCTCGGAGAAGCGTCAGAAGACTCGAGGAAGCCGCAGCTCGGGTTTGCCCAAGTTTTTTGACGAGCGCGTCCTGGATTTTGACGGTCCGGTTGTTGTGGGATGTTCTGGCATTGCAGCGGGGGCGCACGCGTCAAATTTCAGGTTGGGTCTCAGCATTTTCATGGTGGACCCGTCAGGCCAACCCGACGAATCCCCTGTACCTGAGTCTTACGTCTCCCCTTGTCCTTCTCTCTTTTCTCTAAAAGATCGCGTTGTGAAAAAACGAAAGGAGCTTTCCTACTCCTCCTCCTCGACCCCTTTCCTACTCCTCCTTTAATACTCCTTTCCTACTCCTCCTAATCCGTTCCACAGCGTTCCAGAACGCTCTCAGAGCGATCTGGAACGCTCTGAGGAGGCCGCGGTGCCCGTGACATCCTCTAGAGCCGCCACATCCCAGAAATTCTCGAGTTATCCTCACCCGACTTTTTTCCTCGCCCTCGCTTCGCCTTGTGAAGGATTGGAGAGAACAGAGGAAAAGGAGGGGGGAGAAGAGCACGAGGAGCGGAGGAGGGCGGTAGGAGGGGGCAGAAAGGGGGATGCAGGAGGAAGAGGAGGAAGAGGATAATGATGATGAGGAGTCGGAGGCGAAGGCGGAGGCGGAGGCGGAGGAGGAGGAGGAGGAGGACGAGGAGGAGGAGGAGGAGGAGCAGGAGTATCAGGAGGACGAGGAGGAGGAAGTGGAGGAGGAGGAGGAGGCGGAGGAGGAGGAGGAGGAGGAGGAGGAGGAGGAGGAGCAGGAGTGGAGGAGGAGGAGGCGGCGGAGGAGGAGGAGGGAGGAGGAGGAGAGGAGGAGGAGGAGGAGGAGGAGGAGGAGGGGGGGGGAGGAGGCGGAGGAGGATCAGGAGGACGAGGAGGAGGATGATGATGAGGAGGAGGAGGTGGAGGAGAGGAGAGGAGAAGGAGGTAGGAGCAGGAGGAGGCGGGGAGGAGGATGAGGAGCAGGAGGAGGAGGAGGAGGGGTGAGGGGGAGGGGGAGGAGGAGGGGGAGAGGGGAGGGGTGAGGGGGAGGGGGGGGGAGGGGGGGAGGGGGGGGAGGAGGAGAAGGAGAGGAGGAGGAGGAGGAGGAGGAGGGAGGAGGGGGGAGAGGAGTGAGGAGGAGGAAGGGGGGAGGAGAGGGGAGGGAGGAGGAAAGGAGCAGGCGGAGGAGGAGGAGGAGGAGGAATGATAATACTATTAATAAGCCGAAGAGGAATAATACGAATGCGAATGCGAAGGCGAATGCGAATGCGAAGGCGAGTGGTACTAGTAATCATGATAATGACACGAGCAAGACATTAGACATACTAAAACTCATACAATCAGACAAATACTGAACATACCAACATTATTACGAATACTAGTACTCAGAGGAAGAGGATAAGGATTTGTCCTCATCCGAATTTGTCATCGCCCTGGCTTCGTCTTACCCCCCTCGAGGTGGACGAGCAAGATAATCAGGATAAGGAGGGGGAGGAGCAGGCAAACGCTGCGAACTCCGTCGCTCTGAGTCTGGTCAGCGTGAAAAGGGGGAGGAGGATGAGGATGCGGAGAAGGAGGAGGATGAGGATGAGGAGGAGGAGGAGGAGGAGGAGGAGGAGGAGGAGGGGGAGGAGGAGGAGGAGGATGAGGCGGAGGAGGAGGCGGAGGAGGAGGAGTCCGTAGCCATTTTGGCTCAAGTCCGTAGCGGTTTGCTCAGGACAAGGGTATTTGGCAAGGGGATCCGCGGCCCCACCTGCTCCACACCTCGAGACTGTATTGAGGTTTTACCCCTCACGGCCTTTGCGCACCTACGGCGTGTGTCGCACCCTCCGCTGGTGCGAGATGGCTTTCTGGCAGCAGTCTTGTTGGTGTTGTCCCAATAAACATTGCAAGTTCAAGTGCAACTACGAGTGGCGTGATCGCTGCCTCCGCTGTGGCACGGAGAAAGGCGGCCCCAGTCAGCGCGTGGTCCAGCCCCGCGGTGTCTGGGCTGGTGGCGTCTCCCCCTCCGTACGTGCGCCCAAGCCGAAAGGACCTCCGCCCCTCACCGATGCGCAGGTCCGAGCCTACGCCGCCATGGACCCCGCCTCGTATGAGGCCGTGGCGGACACGCTCAGCCAGTCGGCGCGGGATCGCATCCAGCACCAGCGGGGCCTCCTCTCAGGCGATCCGCACCTGGTGTCGCGGGCAGCGCAGAAGGAAAGTGACGTGCTCACGGATCGGCTTGGCAAGGTGCAAATACGATAAGGCGCAGGAGAACCTGCACCGTGCCGTCCGCTGGGCAGCATAGGTTGGCGCTGAGCTCGAGAAGCTCCAGCAGCAGCAGAAGGAGGCTGCCGCGCGCGGGGCCGCGGCCCTTGCGCAAGTGGGCGGCGCGGCCGCCGCCGCGCCTGGCACGCCGCCTGGCCAGTGCGACGGGCTGCTCCAGCAGGCGCGGCTGCTTGGCGACGCCGAGCTCGGGGCCAAGCTCACGGCGGTGGCGGCGCAGCTGGCAACCGCCCAGCAGGAGCTGCAGGCGAAGGCCGCGCAAGCCCAGCACCCCACCCTGTTGCGCCTGCTGGCACCGCCCCGTCAGGCGGTGCCCAGCCTGGCGCCGCCAGCGCGGGCCTCCCTTCGGGATGCGGCCTCGCGGCGGCAGGGGCAGCCGGTGCAGGGCAGGCTGCGCCGCCTCCTGCAGCTCCTGTGGGTGGCGCTGACCCTGATGAGCGTGCCCGTGCATGGGCAGCCCGAAACGAGCAGAAGCTGCTCGAGGCCTGTGCCAGCGCAGTCGGCGACGAAGATGACATGGATCTCGACGAGGGCGCCAAGCGGGCCATCAAGCAGCGAGCCATCGAGCTGTTCGGCCAGGCGCTCAAGAAGCTGCGCACCACTCAGTACGTCCCACCGCAGTTGGGGTAGCCCGCAGTGCCGCCCGTTGACAGTTCTCACGGCAAATGTTACGAGCACGCCTGGGCTTGAGCTGCTCAGGCAATCTGATGAATGGTATGATTGTGACTTGGCGCTTGTGCAGGAGCACAAGGTGCCGCAGCGTCAGCGTGACGCGCAGGAGCAGGCGCTGCGCAAGACAGGCTGGAAGGCAGCCATCAACCCCGCCGTCCGCGCTGGTGCCGCTGATGGCGCCTCTGACAGCCTGGCGGGCTTGTCTGGTGGCACTTTGATTGCCACGCCTGTTCGTTATGGGCTCAGCCAGCTGGAGGGCCTCCCGCACTGCGTGTGCCCAGCCAGGGCTTCACTGCTGCATCTAAGCCACGGTCCGAAAGGTGGCTTGCTTGTTGGCACCATGTACCTGCACGGCTCTGAAGACCTCAGTGAGAGGAATAGGCACATCCTCTGCGCCATGGGCCAGGCCGTCAAGAGTGCAGGGCTTCCTTTCATCCTCAGTGCGGACTGGCAAGTCGCGCCCGAGGAGCTCACGGAGAGTGGCTGGGTGGCAGGCATTGGTGGCGTCGTGGTAGCCCCCAAGGTGGGCACGGTCAGGCCGTCGGAGCGCGTCATCGACTACTTCGTGATGTCGCCCTTCCTAGCCGCAGGAGCGCAGCTGACCGTTCTGGAGCACATCGCGATCAGTCCGCGTCGTGCAGTTCAGGTTCGGCTTCAGGTTCCCCGTCGGCCCCCAGAAGTTCGTGCCGTTCAGCAGCCGCGCAATGCAAGTTTCCAGCTCCCGCTCCCATTGGCTGCTGCAGGGAGTTCGATGAGCCTAACTGGGAGCAGCTTGGCGACGACATGCGACAGCCCGACGTAACTGTTGACGCAGCCTGGGCTGCTTTTATCGAGGCCGCGGAAGCTAAATGGTTGAATGTGTTTGTTGTGGAGCCTCGGCAGGCCGGGTACTATCGAGGCCGTGGAGAGGCACCTCGTCTAAAGACTCTTCGACCTCCGCGGCCATGTTCGGTGCCTTTTCCGCAGATCAATGCTGAAGCTACCTGGTGGCGAGGTTTGGCACATGCGCTGCTGGACTACGGCGACCTGCAGGGCGGCTGGGGCGCTGTGACTCGGAGGCGCCGTCTCACTCGCCATTGCCGAGCTATCTCGTTGCCGCGCCAGTGCCAGCTAGCGATCAATGTTGCTAAACTCGTCCTCCATAGCCCCCCTCTCTCCACACCCCACCTGCAAGTTTTAAAAACGCTTGCGCAGCAGCAAGCTGAGGTCGCTGTTCGAGCCAGCCAGCGAGCCAAGCAGCGGGGGTGGGAGGACTGGGTTCACAAGCACAGAACTGAGCAGGGCGCATCTGCTCTGTTCAGTTTCTCCAAGGTGCCTACAGGATGGGCGCCCGACGACACGACGGTCGATCACGTCCCCTTAGGCTCAGCCGAACAAATTGAGCAGCTCAGGGTTGAATGGGAGTCATGGTGGTGCGTCTCAGAGCCTCACCCTGAGCTTTCCTGGCCAGATCTCTCCCTCCTTGAACCTCCTCCTCGCCCTACTGTCCCTGAGCTGCTAGCAGTCCTCAAAAGCTACAAGCCCACCACGGGCCAAGGTTATGATTGTGTAAACCCGCGGCACTTTTTGCACCTGGGCCTCGAGGGCCTGGACGCGCTTTGTGAGCTTTTGCATTTGATTGAACTGAGGCTCGACTGGCCCACCGCGTGGGTCAAGGTTTTCTTCTTGGCCAAACGTCTGGGAGGTTTTCGGCCGATTGCTCTCTTGCCTGTGCTCGCGAGGGTCTTGCGTCGCTTACGGAAGTCCGAGATCCAGGATTGGCAGAGAAGAAGCTTTACAAGCTTTTCTTGGGGGACCCGCGGCAAGGCCGCAGATAAGTGCGTCTGGGTGCAGGCCGCGTGGGCCGAGTGGGCTCATGGCCAAGGGATGGCGTCTGGGACGGTGTTGGTGGACCTCAAAAAGGCCTTTGAGCTCATTCGGCACTACCACCTTGTGGCCGCCGCAGAGCGCACAGGGTTCCCGATGAGACTGCTGTACCTCCTTATCAAGCTGCATCGTCAGCCGCGGATTTTGGACATGGGCATTTTTGTGTCGGAGCCCATACATTCAGAACAGAGTGTCCTGCCAGGTTGCGTTTTCGCAACGATGATGTTGCAGCTCGTCTTGCTGCAGCCCCTAGATGAGGTGCGCAAAGTTGCTCGTGCAGTTTCGCTCTCTACAGTTGTCGATGATATAGGTCTGCGGCGCTTCGGCGAAGAGGAGCGCGTCCGTGCAGATCTCGCTGCAGCAGGCTGCGAGTTAGCTCGTCAGTTGGAAAAAGTTGCCTTGTTGGTGGCGAAAGATAAGACGCGCTTCATGAGTAGTGTAGCCCCTCTCAGGACGTCTTTAGAGGCCAGCCTTAAATGCCTGGGAGGGCAGCGCTCTCGCTCTGAGAGGAACTTGGGGGTTGATTTTGGGTCTGGGCGGAGGTTGGATCGCACCACTAAGCGAGAGCGCTTGGCTGCTGCCGTCGTCCGTTCGAGGCGCTTAAAGATTTTGCAAAAAGCTAAACGTCGCCGACTCGTCGCTCGCATGGTCAAAGCCACCGTGGAAACCAGCGTCTCTTATGGCACTAGTAGCACTGGGACCAATGGGCAAGAGCTCCAGAGGCTTAGGCAGTTGGTAGGCAGTCAGGGTCCCACCAGCTCCGCTTCCCTCACGCTCCGTCTCCTGCTCACCCCTGGCAGTCGGGTGGCCCTATATTTAAGGCTTCCGCCGACCCGCTTTGCGCCATGTTGGCCGCGTGGAAGCAGCAGTGGGCCCCCCAGCGCATAATAACTCAAGGAATTCGGCAGGCCCAGCAGCGAGCCCGATCCAGCAAAGGCAGTCCGCGGCAATCTGTTGCTGGGCCCTTCACGGCCTGACCTGGCCACGCTCGATCGTTTGGGAATTCAGGCAAACGGTTTTAGTTCTTGGATTTTCCCCTGGGGCCTCACTATACAGCCGGCCACGTTTTGTGTCCATGGGCTAAGGAAGCTCATTGACTTGGCCTGTGAGGCCTGGCAGTGGAAGCAGATCGGCACTACGCTTGACTGCCCCGAGCTCAAGTCAGGCATCTTGATCGAGCCAGTCCTCGGTCTGCTTGGTCGCTCTTCGCCGCTGTCGCCTGATGAAAAGGCCTATCTTCGTTCTGTCGTCATCGGTGCCCAATGGACGCAGCAGCGCATGTTCGAGGCTAAATATGTGCAGTCCCCGCTCTGCCGTATCTGTCACAGTTTTCCTGGCACTTTGTATCACCGTCATCTGTTGTGTGACGGGTTGGTCTCTGCCAGTTTGCAGCCCGCAGGCCCTCTCCGTCGAGTCCTGCCGCAGGAACCCACAGAGCTCGTGCAGTTGCTTGGCAGCCGTGTGCTTCTTCCTTTCGACAGGTTCCCGCAGCGGCCAGAGCCCGCGCCAGAGCAGTTCTACCTTGGTGAGCGCAGCTCGCTCACTGGGGACTTGTTCGTTGACGGCTCGAGGTATGATCACGATGTGCCCAATGCTGTTGTCAATGCTGTTGTCACTGGTTGGGCTGTCTTTGCCATGCGTCCTGATCCTCCTCCTCCGAGGGCGCTCGACGATTTTCGAGTTTCGGTTGTCTTCGCAGGCGGAGTCGAGGGCCCGATTCAGTGCATTGATCGTGCTGAGCTGGTGGCGGTTTTGAACACTCTCAGAGTTGCCGTGCCACCCGTCGCCATCCACGCGGACAGCGATTCTGTTTTCTCAGGCATTGTTAAGCGTGGACGGGAGGCATGCTGTGCCTTGCTCTCTGCCCATGCTGACATCTGGGAGCTTCTCTGGGCGAAGCTGGCGGATTGGGGTGGGGCGGGGCCCGCCTCCGTCACGTTTGTCAAAGTCAAGGCCCACCCCACCCCAGAGCAGCGCCGCTCCATCGACCCACGCCTTCTCGCGGGCAATCGTTTTGCCGACGACTGGGCGAAGAAGATAACGGGTCAGTGGCGCGTGGATTTCGTGCTTCGCGATCGGTGTCGGAAGTTCTCGAGGCTCGTGCGCGCGGTGGGTGAGCAGGCAGGCAGGGCCGCTCCCCTCGCGGCCACCGACGCCGAGCGCCTCACGGCGTCCCAGATGAAGGCGGCCCGCGCCGCGCGGCGCCAGGCCAGCGAGCTGGCCGCCGCCGCCGCCGCCGCCGCCGCCGCCCTCGCCCCACCACCGATTGCTCCCCCCCGTCGTGTCGTCCTCGCTGGGGGGCACGCTCTGAGAAGGTGGGTTAGCGAGGAGCGCGGCGATAATTCGTGCGGCTTCATTTGTGTGAAGTGTGGGGCTATGAGCACCCAGCACGTTTTGAAGCTGGGCCAGGTCTGTGGGCACCCTTCGGCTTGGGGCAAGCGGGTTCTCAGAGGCCTTGACCAGAGGAGAGAGTTTTTTTTTTTTTTTTTTTCCGAGGCCGCTGGATTTCGGTTCAGCTCAGTCATTATGTTCCTGGGAGCTCGGAGGTGATTTGATCCCGAGCTGTGTGCAGCGGTAGGGGGCAGGCTCACTGACCCCCCGTTGTTGTCAATCTGTGTCGCAGGAGGAGGAGGAGGAGGAGGAGGAGGTGGAGGCGGGGGCGGAGGCGGAGGCGGATGATGATGATGATGACGATGATGATGATGATGACTATGATGCTGATGATGATGATGCTGATGCTGATGGCGATGATGATGATGATGCTGATGATGATGATGATGCTGCTGATGATGGTACTGATGATGATGCCGATTATGATGATGCTGCTGCTGCTGATGATGGTGATGCTGATGATGATGATGTTGATGATGCTGATGATGATGATGATGCTGATGCTGAT